GTCTTTCACAGTACCCGCGGGTCTTTCTTCCTCTTCGTCTCTTTCTCTCTACGTTTGATCTCGCCAATCGACCTCTCTGTCGCATCCAGATCCGAAACTTCGTTGATCTTCAAGAACGCATCCTCTGGTCAGATAGTACCGTTTCTGATACGTTGGCAAGGCCCTTCTACGTTCAAGTTCCGAAAGTCACGTCGATTGATCGAGATCCCAAATCGCCTTCTTCTCCTCGTCTTCCCGGAAACGATTAAATGATAGATATATCGATATTGTGTTTACGCATTTTCGGAGTAAGAGTACATACGTCGCCGTCAATTTCCACTTTATCTCATTATTCGCGCCGTGATATTCCGTGATAGAAATTGCAGTCGTAATTGTACGGCAATGTAAAATAGGCTGAAGAGCGGACCGTGAGTATCCTTATATGTAGGTCGTCACGCGGGAATTAGCACTAACTGACTTTACATTAAGCACAAATTTATTCACGTGAAAGTACTAATATCGCTACTTTCTTCGGTGGCGCATAAACAATTTAGAACAGTGCGTAGACGATACCCGTATTTACGGTATCGCATGCGTTGTTATTACGAGGTAGTTATTAACCATTTAAAGTACTTGCTCCTCTCATTATTTGCGAGTTCTGACGAATGTATCATTTCGACGACTGGTTTCATTCATCCATGCAGCTTCATTGCTTTTTTAATGACCCATCTCATTTTCCTTAAATGAGCCGTATGCAGAGAGAAGTTAATTGCTAGGCAAAAAGCCACAGAATCACGTGTGAGCGTGGACGAAAAAAGAGGTGGCGAGAAAGAAAGGTGAAAACTTTCGTTTCATTCATTCACACGTGCTTCCAGCGCGCAAGGTGCAAAACTTCTTTTTTCTCTTTCTCCTCCGTACTGCATTTCGTGCTTACAACGATACAGAAAAAAGCAAGATAGACCATAGGTTTTACCCGCATAACGACATATAACAATTATGCATAACAGCTGTGCAAAATCATATACCTGCATATATGTATGTTTCGCTTATTTTTTGCATTGTATCTAAAAGAAGAGAATATGCTCTAATGATGTAGATAATCGATGAATATAAAGACAGAAACGAGTTTCGTCAATCGTAACTTTCTTCCTCTGTCGCTTTTTTACTTTGCCTTCGATCGCTTCGTATAAGCATCAACGAAGCGATCGACGCACAGATGGAACGACAAACAGAGATGGTAGAACGTGGCGAGAAGCAACACGGGGAGAAGCAGAACGAGCAGGAGATCGAGAACTCTCAGGTACGAAGGCTTCACTTCGTGGGGGCCTTGACCTGACCTCGATCCTCGGACGAGTTCACTCTCGCCGGCGTCGACGAGAGGAAAGTGTTCCATCACCAGGAGCGCTCGTGGCTACCACTCGGCTCAATGTATCGCCGGATTAGCGTCTTAGTTTGCGATGCTGTGTGTTTACGCGATCCGATTTGCCGTATATATGTAATACATATACGAAGGGGACGGTAAAACTTTCAGATTCTTGCTCGATTGTCGTAAGTGAGGCATGTGGATGCCGACGCGTCTGCAATATAAAATCTGATGCGCGAATAGAATAAATGTGTGATACATAGAGAAAAAAACATTGCGGAAACAAAGTGAAAGTTTCTTGAGATCCGCTGTATATTATATATCATGTCGCGAGAGGATCAAAGATAATTGAGAGAAGGAAAGCAACAGTATTATATGTATATGTATACTAATACATATATATATAATATATTACGATAATTTACGAAATCTTTTTTAATTTTTAGCATTTTCAGATTTTTAGCATTTTCAGATTTACATTTTTTATAGAACTTTTGTCAATTAAAGAAAAAAATTACACATTAAATATTAATATTCAAGATATTAAGACATACAAAATACTTTCAAAATTTTAAATATGTTACATGGACAGCAAAAATGCTTTAAAGATCTCTAAGAAACTTTAATCTTTTAATCAAGTAGATTCGAAAGTTTTCTCGATTTTAATATTCATTAGATTGTTTTTTAGCGTCACATTCGTTTGACTACTTTGTCGTGTGTTAAAATACCGTTGCGTTTCCGCAAATTCTTCGATAAGACACGTGAGAACGTAATCTGGACCGATGCAGAGATTCGGTTGACCACCTTCGGGCCCGCACAGGCGGGCAGCGCGGAGAAAGTCAGCCGCGCATCTTTTCCTCGCGCAAGGATACACCGGCAGAGCATAATAAAATACTTTTGGGTATGTCTCCTCTATTTTTTCATCTTTTTTTTTTCTAGGCAAGAAATCTTTGGGTCACGATGACGCGGAGGAGAGGCCAGGCGGGGCAAGGTGCGGCTCGTACTCCTGGAAGAAGTCTGGCTTAGGCCCAACTCACACATATAATCGGTCCACGTCGATGCGTCCACGCACATTCCTTGTGAAAAACCGTTAAACGTTCCGTGCGACAGCCATTGGAATACATTAATTTCAAAGACCATTGACTAGTTGTAGTATCGGCCAGCGCTGACACCGTATACCGTCCAGAAGAAGAGGATTTTAATTTGCGTTTCTAGCTTTTAGAATTAATAAATGAATGGAACAGGAAGCAATGAGAAAATTTAAGGTGAACAAGAGAAATGAAGAATCGATAGGAATGCAGTATCACGAGATACTTAATCCAAAAGTAACTGTTATTAGCCGAAATCGGGACGTATTATATGGCGAGAATATATGGCGGTTTAAAATTATACTAAAAGATGCGACCCCGATAACGCGAAAATTCCAAGAAACCTTTGACCAGACGAGCAATGGTAAAAGTGTTGCGATTTCATATAATAATAAATCGTGCTGGCTGATAGCTGGTGATCGCGCAAGTGTTTAAGCTATCGCAGGCTCGTATAATATTATAAGCACGTTGAAAAGTTGTGTGGAGGTGTATGAACGAAGCATTATCTATACATGATAGTATAGAAGTATCCTGTGTAATATACCTTGTCGAAAGCGAAATCATAAGCCAACTTATCCCAAGTGCTTGGCCAAATAAAACGCGTCGTTTCTCTCTATCAGTACGATATGAGATTCTTCGTTGACGCGACATTTTTTAAAGCATATTTCAAAGATTTCCGGAATAAATTATTTATAACTCGCAATGCATTTATAGTGCATAATCATGTAAGAGAAAGAGGGAGAAGGAGAGAGATACACAATTCAATAATAAAAATAAATGTCGCGACACAGTCTCTTATCTTGTCCTAGAAACTAATTATGACAAGTGACTCAATTGAACAAGTCATTTCAAGAATCACCTGGAGAGACGCCAAATAATATATGCTACCGCAGATAATTCATCTTTAATGCATAAGCATTGCACATGTGTCCCTCTTTGAAAGTCCTGACAAGTAGGCAATTTCTGTCGCAGCTGCTGTATCTTCACCGATATATTTAACATGTAAAAAGGAGATATAATATCTAAATCCTTTTACGAGAGCAGTTTCTTGTAGATTTCCCGGATTATTTATGTGCATAGAGCGAAATCGTTAAATCAATAAAAATTGCGAGACCTGGTGCATGATAACATACCGATTGTACAAGATTCGTGTTATTATCTCCGTTTTTGATCTAAATTTTTAAAGAACACCCACATTCCACCTTCTATCGTTTGGTATCGGTACTTTTGGTGCCTTTGACCCGTCGAAACGTCTCCCTCGATTTGATCGTGCTCCGATCTCGTCCGGAGGAAGAGGCCAGTGGTGCGTAGGCACCATCATCTTTCTCTCGTTTTTTTCTTTCTCTTTCTCTCTTCTTTCTTTCTCGTTTTCTCCCTCTCGCATTCTCGCGCGCGCGCATGTATGTGCGTTTTACGCATACGCACAGGGCGGGTTTGTCGGGAGCCAACACACCCGTTGTGTACATAAACGACTTAAGTAAGTAAGTACACACAGGCACAGGAGAGGAGAACCAATGGAGAAGGATCGGTGGTGTGCAGGCCGCGTCAACGAGAGACGCACACGACACGAACGGAATGACCGCCTGAAGGAGAACCAATAGCTCGTATGGATTGTAACCCGGCGGGGGCCACCCGGTGGGGGCCATCAAAATTTCAAAAACGTACGCGGGCCCCTTTCGCGACGAGGATAAAAGGCAGCAATCGTGATTCTTTCGGGCAGTGTCGATACGATCGCCGTACTCGTTCGAGCGTTAACGTGCAAGAGACGGAAAAGGGAGACGAGAGTAGAAGCGAAGGAGAGGAAGTGAAGAAGAGCAGTTTCGACAAGTTGGAGTAATCGGTTCGATTTCGTCGGTCCTCTTTCGTCGCCCGGAAAATTTGAAAGAATTAACATCAACATGTACAAATTCGCAATCATCAGCGCACTCTTCGTGGTATCCACTCTCGCTGCACCGGCGTCGCAGGACGCGGCGGCGTCACCGCCACCGTCGGTCCTCGAGGAAGCCCTCGACGTGTATGCTTCTTGTGCCGGGGAATCGAGCATCCCGGTGTGTCTCAAGCTCAAGGCCCTACGCTATGTCGACCGAGTCGTCCGTTCGACTGACATCGAAGTCGTCGACGGATTCAAGATCGTGCAGACCGAGGAGGCTAAAAACAGGTAAGGGACAGCGAGGATTTACTCGGAATAGTGATCGTTACATTTTACGGTGATCGAGCATTAAAACGAGGATAGTCGACATCGAGTGAAATTGAGACGTGAGAAACGCGGCAGGTGATTCGTGTGGTGAACGCGTGAAATCGTATTTAAATCGTATTGCATTATACTTTTTATACTATGCCAAAGTGTATGATATCATCTGTACATAGTATATTAACGTAGATAAAGCGATTATTGAACGATTGGATTGGATTATTTAACCCCTTTCTAAAATTCAATAATTTTGAGATTTTAGTTCATTTAAAATATAATTAAAATGAGAGATAATTCATAAATTTATTATTCGAACGATGAACTGTTTGGAATTAACTCTCTTCAATCTCACTTTATTACTTTAATCAATAAACGATGTAATGCTACTTTACACTCTGCAAAAGACTTAAATGTCCAATCATAAAATTAGCATAGAAAGTTGTTAACGAACGTCGGAGGATATTTCGAAACGCTCATGCAAATTATAAGCGCATACTTCTTTTTTTCAGCCGGGCTGACAATGCAAGGTCTCTTAATGACATTGAAAATACCTTGCCAGCTGAGACCGAAGCCAAAGAAGCTGCAATTGATCAGGCCCTTGTCGACAGAGCTGCTAAGTTTTTATCTACACACACTGTTGAATTGAGCTTTCCGGAAGACGTTGCCCGTTCCTTTGACGAAGGTAATATTAAATTGAATTAAAAGAAAAACATGTATATACATATATTTTTTTTTAAACAATATATTATAAGTAACAAATTTATATATATTTTAAATATATAAAAAGATATTTTTGAACTTTAAACTATAAGATTTCGTCATATCATATACTTTTGATAAACTGAAATACGTGTATATATTATTTTAATATCAAAGATGGAAGAAATTTGAAGATGCACATTATAAAAAATTATACATGCACATTATTAAAAAAAAATCAGAAGACTTATGTTTTGGAATTTTGTTCATGTTTCAGCTCGTGGTAAGAAGAAGAAGATCGTTAAATCTCTGTTGCCCATCCTTCTTCTCCTGAAACTTAAGGCTGCTGCCCTTATCCCGATTGCTCTTGGTGCTTTGGCTTTGATCGCTGTTAAGGCCCTCATCATCGGCAAGATTGCTCTCGTCATCAGCTTGATCATCGCCCTGCAGAAATTGCTCGCTTACAAGAGCCAAAGTTATGAGGTAGTCGCTCATCCCGTCCACGATTACGGACACGAGGTGCACCACGATCATCACGGCTGGGCGAGATCGGCGGCCGGCTCTGATCTCGCGTATAACGCGTACAAACCCGCTGAATAGCCCAGTGTCATGTACAACCTCTCTTCCTTCTAACTTTCTACCTTCATTCGCCAAAGTGATCGTCGTTAACCCGGCGATCACATCTGAGGGAGGCGTGGCTCAACTTCTCAGGGATTCTCTCGACAAGCTCGACTCGACAACACGGACACTTGTCGATGCAACAACGACTAGATCGGACGCAATTCTACGCGGACAGGCAAATTACGACTGTTAAACGAGGACGATTATCAGATTTTTTGTGCGGACTGTATTTTTAACCGTACGTGACTCGACGACTCGACAATGCCGAAGCCGACAATCGATAGAGATGCTATCAATCGCCATAGATGAAAGTTCGACGTACATCACGGTGATTTTATGACGGAACTCACCATTTTATCAAACATGACGAAAGACGGTATCCAAGAGATTATGAGAATCTCGAGATTTTAAAAATAGTGAAACCTGATAGAATGATAGAAATCACGCCTCCTCGATCACATACTCGTGCGGTATCCTTTCAGGGTCATCCGTGTTTATCGCACGCGGAATGAACTCGTAGTCAATACTCGCGCGGGACCACCAGATTTAATCCAATGATTATTTATATATCGATCACCCCGTTGAGATCATCATGTGTAACTTATCATATTATTTATAAATAAATTGTAATTTTTGTATAATATTAAAAACTAATTTTGTTAATTTTATTTTTCCCTTATCTTCCATTCCATGGGAATATCTTTTATTATGAAAAAATATAAATTTTGTCTAATATGTATATAAGTCTAATATGTCTATTATTATAAAAATATAAAATATTAATATAAAAATTTTATAAATTACGTAGTATATTTATAATATAAAAGTCTATAAAATGCAAAATCCCAGAGAAAGAGAAAAAGAAAGAGAAAGAGAAAATAAGCGATCTGCAGACATCATTTTAAAATAGAATTAAAGAAAAGACTTTAAAGTTAAACAGCGTTTAAAATCAGCAGCTTGTATCTCAGCAAAAATAATATATATTACGCCGAAAATGATCAGTATCTTATAAAAAAAAAAAATGTATATCTTTAAATTTTTCATTTGTGTCCTAGATTTACTACACAAATTTGATAATTATATTTGCGCTACATACGCTCTCTCAATTTTCCTTGTCCAGCCAAGAAGCTTGTCTCCTCAATCTGACGATATAACGATCTTTCAGACACTCCATTCTTCGACTTGCGGAAATTACTCTCCTCGGTGCATCCGGTGTATCGACCAAGCGTTATGCGCACGAAATACAAACCAAGTATACTTTCGCTGCTTGTAAAATCTTCCGAGTGAAACCAATTGTTCTGTCGTGTGTGAACGCCCCCTTGTCGTCTATATAGGAGAGCGGCCACAGGTGCAGAATGAACAGTATTTTACGGGACCTTCATTGCTCTGTGTTCTTTCCGCGCGATACAGGGTTCCCTGTTGATCCTAAAACAGTAAAAAGAAAAATAATGTTATAATAATTCAAAAATGTGAGAAGTATTTTAGAAACTGAATTGTGGATGGTTTTCTAAAACGCACGTCACTTTATAGTGTCGACGATTTTTTGTGCCTGCTACTTCGAAACGAATAACTTCAACTGTGCTAAAGCTTTTATCTGCATAATTTTTTTTTTCAGTTTATTTCAAGTTTTTTATCAACTTTCTTCCCGATGTTTCGTTTAATCTGAGTACATTTCGTATACATGAGAGATCGGTTAAAGTCGGTATGTCGAGGATGAAAAGCAAATTTCGCTATCTATGTCTGCTTGTTCTCGTGTCAACGAGTTTTACAGTGATCATGGAGCCCAAAGAGCATGTCACTTTGGATAATGAACATTCCTACAGCTTCAATGAAGCTTTTGGTATATGTCTGTCGAAGAAGGAACACGGCACATTCGAATGCGTAAATCGTGGTATTTTAAGTGCTTTACAATCCTGGTATGATAAGGATACATTGGAGTTTGGAAAGATGCGACTGGACCGAGCGGAAGGCTACAGCAGAGATTTTTTGGATTTAGACTACGATCCGAAGGATTTTGGAAATATCGTGAAAGCAGCCGCCAGATTAATGGAACGTCGAAATATCAAGTGGAATCTCGATAATCTATATCCAGGATTGCAAATGCGCGTCGGACCAATGTTAAATAGAGATGGAATACTGGAATTTGTTCTCAACGAAAGAGCTACTTCGTATGACGACAGACAGACTAGTGGTCCAGGTAAACTATAATATATTAAATATATTACTAAATTTAAATTAATTATTTCAATAGCTCACAATCAGTTAAACAAGTTCTTTTTGACATTGCTCGGAAATTTTATGTTCAAAAATGATACAAGTTTATTAATTTGAAAAGAATTTGTTCTCTAAATACATAATTATTGTTTTTTTTTTGTTTTATTTTAAAATTCATTTTTTGTAAGATACATAAAGATAAATGAATCAAATTTTTGGAAATCTAAATATATTTTTATTTTGTTTTAATTTATTCTTTCAATATTTTTCACGTACGTACATATGTCTTACATACTAATGTGTAACAATGTGAATAATGTAATCTAAGAAAGTTACGTATTAGTATTACAGATTCATTTACAAAAGAATTACGTAAAACAGAATGCAAAGTGCTTGCTTTAAAAAATTGTAGCTTGTTACATGCAGAATTACCTCTCTTGTTACCTTAGCACAGAATCAAACCTTACGCTCAGGTTCTTTTCCTGGATAAGCCGTTACGTGCGCCAACTGGTTTCAAGAACGTCCTCCAGTAGGCAGCACGGCCAAGGCTACGCAACTGGTTGTAAATTCAAGGGCAATTTCTATCATTTCAGGAAGACAGTTAACCAGACACATATTACTGCCATTTCTCTTGGGTTTCAAATTCAATTTGGCATCTCTAATTCCACTTATGTTTGGCTTCCTG